TGAACTGGAATCATGGTGGAATATCCTGTGATGTCCACTTGGCAGGGCACTTATGGTCGAATAGAACAAACAGCTGAAGTGATAAGAGATGTGAAGAGATCACGAGGACTGGAATTGAGAACCACTGCTCTAGAAGATTCATGCAAATCCAAGAGGTTTTATCAAATATGGGGTTGGAGCAACACTGAAATGTGCCTTTAAGAATCGATTAAAAAATAATACAGTTTTTGGTATAACAGTTTTGTTTGCATTGTCAACATTTGACACAAATGGCATGCACCAAACTCATGAAATATGACCCATCAGTATGAACATTCACATATAAAACAAGTTTGAGGAAGGTTTAGGCTATATCTTTAACAGTGTTATCCATAGATTTATGATTTCATACACACATGGCTCACAGTGACCACACCAGAATGACTGCTTTAGACACAAATGGCATGCACCAAACTCATGAAATATGACCCATCAGTATGAACATTCACATATAAAACAAGTTTGAGGAAGGTTTAGGCTATATCTTTAACAGTGTTATCCTTGAAGGAAATCATAGATTTATGATTTCATACACACATGGCTCACAGTGACCACACCAGAATGACTGCTTTTATTTCATATCCATAATGTCCATCCATCACACGCTGACAATATTTTTGTGACATTTTTAGCAGCTATATATTTAAAACGAAGATTTCAAACTTGATATGTGTTCCTTGATATAAATCAACGCAGTTCTTTTTCATTTCAAGATTTCTGAGAAGTAAATATGCGCCTCAACATGTATAATACAGCAGCTTGGTTTGTCGACTGCTTTTGCGCTTTTGCTATTGGTCAATGCCAAAGTTATCCGAAGCCTTGCATGGGTTGCTGTTTCATTTTTCCAAGGAATGTTATAATGCTGACACCCTGCTTTGTGTTTCTTACCGAGCCGGTTTTACTGCAGAGAATTACTGTTATGATAAAAACCACATGCTTATAACCCCACTATTCCCACACACATCTTTAAAAATGTTATATAATTCTGTTCATTTATTGTATCAAAGATACACAGTTCAATAAAGGTATGTACATTTCTGAATAATAATTTGTATCTATCTTCTATGAGTATATTCAAGCTTATTTTAAAAATGTATTTATAAAATTAAGTTCTAATCACTATATATTGTGATTATAACGTAGTCACTTTTGATCAATTTATTGCATCATTGCTGAATATTTTCAGTATTTATAGTGTATTTTTGATATATATATATATACACTATTTATTAATTTCACATATGAAATTAATATTCAATATTTAGTGTGTATATATATATATGATATATATACACTTTAACTTAATTTTAGAAATATTTAATATTCAGTTAATTTGTTCAAAAGTGACTATATATGTTACAAGTTATAATCACTATATATATATATGTATATAATGATTATAACTTGTAACTTAGTCACTTTTGATATATATATATATAATATATATATACACACATAAAAATATACATATATAAAAAAAAATATATATATATACACTTTAACTTATATATATATATATATATATATATATAAGTTAAAGTGTATATATATATATTTTTTTTTATATATGTATATTTTTATGTGTGTATATATATATTATATATATATATATCAAAAGTGACTAAGTTACAAGTTATAATCATTATATACATATATATATATATATATAGTGATTTATAAAATATATGTATAATTTACATTGGATCAAATATATAATATATATATAAGAAAATACATTTCTGAATAATAATTTGTACCAGGTCCTCTTTCTTGGGTGATGAGCAAACTTATCCAAAAGATTGGGAAAAAATACATAAAAATCTATACAATTTTAACTATAACATTTCCATGGGTTTTGCAAGGGTTTTTGATCTTCACTAAAAATCAAGTTAATAAGTAATCAAGTCAAGTCAGTTGTGTTTGTGCGGTTTCTGTGATTGACTATTTTGCCTGGTGCATCTTCAGCCAGTGTTCCCGCTGAAATCTGTGATCGACTCTTCAGGTCTGTTGGTTTTCAAGATGGCGCCGCTCGCATCTTCCACACGTGAATTGTTCACTGAAGCAGTTCGGGCTGTTTTGGAAACGTGGCCGGTGCTGCAAGTTAGTCAATGTATAACATTATATTCCGAAAAATATATATTTTGTAGAATACTGTCATATTTCTTAAGCAAGCTGTAGTTTGATCCTCATTTTCGAATTCAGAAACCAGAGTGCTAGCAGCTTAGCGTTGTCAAGTATAAACATGACGTTAATATACAATAAACAGTCTTATGCCTCGTCACGATATTTCGTCTAGTTGCACAGGAATTGTGATGATGCGCAGCTCGAGCTGCTCTTCAGCAGTTGCACTAACTAGTGATTTGGAGCTGGAGTGGGCTCCAGCACTGAGTGTTTTCTCAGATCGCGGTGGATAATGGTTTCGGTGGCGCGGAGTGGATGGTGGACGCGCTGCGGCTGTATTTCATCGACAACGGTCAGAGCTGGCAAATCATTTCACTAACGCTTTGTAGATCTTCTGATGTCTCAGCAAACCCGTCTGTGTGTGCCTCTCCTCACAGATGAGCTGCAGCAGGATGAAGTGGAGGATCTCATCTCAGACCTGATGAACAATGAGTTTGACACGGTGGCGGATGATGGCAGCTTGCCGCAGGTTTGCTTTGTTTTTGAACAGATATTAGACTAGTCGGAGCTGTGTCTGAGTGTGTGTGTGTGTGTGTGTGAGAAACTGTCCCTCAGGTGGAGCAGCAGGTGTGTGAGATGCTCCAGCAGTGTCAGCAGGACAGACTGAAGGAGGTCAGAGAGCAGATCAAGCAGCTGATTCAGAAGAAGAGCGCTGGGAGAGTGAAGGCCACACCTGCTGCTGCTGCTGATGATGATGATGATGAGTCAAGATGAAGAGGTATACACTAGTCAACATTTGAAGTGGATCAAAACCTTTCATCAAAGTTGCCCTAAAACCAAAATGCATTCTTGACTTTGGGCAACTTTGATGAACTTTTTTGATCCACTTCATCTGCTGCTGCTGCTGCTGCTGATGATGATGATGATGATGATGATGAGTCAAGATGAAGAGGTATACACTAGTCAACATTTGAAGTGGATCAAAACCTTTCATCAAAGTTGCCCTAAAACCAAAATGCATTCTTGACTTTGGGCAACTTTGATGAACTTTTTTGATCCACTTCATAGGTTGACTACTGTATATATATATATATATATATATATATATATATGTGTGTATCTATGCATGTATGTATGTTATTTTTAAAAATATTTGTAATATTTTATATACACATATATATATATATA